CACCGGGTCCGGGACACGAACCGCGGTCGACTACGTGGGAGTCCAGCGACATAGCCATTATGCTAACTGCTGGTTCCCCACGGCCTCTGCAGTTCTAAGGGGAGGTCAGGCATGCTCCCACCCTGGCCTCGGCACTGACGGGACTCTTGGTCTGAAGTACCCTTTCTCCCAGACGTCCAGAAGACTCATTTCCTCACCTCGCTCAAGTATCTGCTCAAATATCACCTTATCAACAAACCCTATGACCTTGCCTTCTTTTGTTTAAATTTAACTTTATTTATTTATTTTAATTTGACCAGAGAGGGACAGAGTGAGCGAGAGAGAGGCAAAGTGAGAAAAAGCAAGCCACTAGGTCTGGGGCTTGGCCATGTGGGAGTCCAGTAACCTTATCACCACACCACCTACAGATGCCGATCTTGCTTTTTAAAAGAGAGCTCCCCACTCCATTTCTTTTTACCCTGCTCCTTTTCCAGATCAATGATCATCTTTCAACATCCCATATGAAACATGTGTTTGTTACACTTCTGTTTGTTCCCCTAGCCCCACCAGAATATAAGCTTGTTAACCAGTGATTTCTCTATGTCTTGTTTACTGATGTCTATCTTGAGCATCTAGAGTAGGTTTACAATGTCATATGTGGGGCCAGCAGGTTGTGTGGTGGTTATGGTGCTGGATACTCCCACATGGCTGACCATGGTTCAAGTCCTGGACCTGGTGGCTGGCTTTCTCACTTTCCCTCTCTCTTTCTGTCTTTCTCTAGTCAAATGAAAATGAATGAATGAATGAATGAATAAAATAAAATAAATATTCTTAAAAAAATAAAAAAAGAATGAATAAAATTAAATAAATAATTCTTAAAAACACACACACACACACACACACACACACACACACACAAAAGAAATACTTATCACTAACCCTCATTCACGCAAATACCTGGGTATCTGAGTTTCAAGAACATATCAATGACCTTTATAATAACTAGCTTCATTTACCTATGAAATCCCAGATGAAGACGTTCTTGTGGAATATGCGGGCAGATTTGAATCCATGGTGGAAAACTTGCTCAAGTGCTGCAACGAGGCCATTTTCCCCACACAGCAATACTGTGAGGCTTCCTCTCTGCGGAACACAACACACAATGCCCAAGAAAAAGCTGCTGTACTATGCCCTTGAGAAGCAAAAGCTGAGGGCGGCTATAGCCCACCGGCTTCTACAGCTCTTAGAAAGCTCACAAGTGAAAATCAAAGCACCCATACTGCCGTATGTATTACGTATAAAAGCAGCTTAAAAGTCCCACTATACTAAGTTGTATAGCCCGTCATACCTCTTTTTCAGGTTTATGAAAATGTTTCACAATATTGTTCACAGCTTCTCCGATTCCTTCTTGGATCTGTCCGGCATTGGGTTCTGTAACATAAAGAACAGTGGCTGCACTCTCATGTGAGGGGAAAACCAAAGCACTCCAGGCTGCGTGTGCCCACCCAGGAGGGCACTGGCCTTACCAGGGCTCCGTGGAACTTGCCTCTGGCCAGTCTGGCCAAGTGAGAGGCATCTTGGCACAGTCTCTTGGAAAATAATCCAAGAGACCCCCAGATTCAAATCCCATCCTCACTACTTGCAATCCCTAACTCAGCCAAGTGTCTGACTTCCCCTGAGTTTGAGTTTCCTTTACTGAAAACAGGGAAGATATACACCTCACGGGAAAATGGAATGAACCATGAAGTGTAAAGCACCTGACACAGTGCCCATCAGAAAGTGCTAGCAAGTCCTCTGCGAGGAGTGAGGTGGGGATGACTCTCAGCATCACTTCCTCCGATGAGCCCTTATGCTACCTACCTCCAAGCCCCTCACGGGCACAGACTATGGTTTCCAAAGTTTTTTTTTTTTTTTTTTTTTTTTTTTTTTAGTATGTTTGCCAGAGACCAAGAGAAACAGAGCGAAAGGGAGAAGGCATCCCCACAATGCAGCATGATCACGCTGCACTCTCTTCTCCACTTCTCCATTCTGCCAGGCCTTTAAGCATGCGCGCGTGTGCACACGCGCACACACGCACTTGCGTGTTGTTTAAGCCACCAGGGGCAGGATTCAAATCGCAGACAGCCATGTGGGATCTGGCTCAAAACTCATTTCTTGAAGTATTGTTTCATCACTGTGGAGAGCAGCCAAAGGCGCAATAACACACACACAAAGACACACAAGTATAGAAAAGCGAGGATCTGGTGGGCACAGCCTCTCTGATGAAGTTGCGACCAGAACCAGCCTCAGGTTTATTCTTTCAAAGGGCAGAGAATGGGGGGAGAGGAAAATGGGATGCAAAGGGGATGGGGAAGAAGAGAATAGAGGAGGAGGAATTGGAATGTAAAGCCAGTTGTTTTTGGATGTAAATCACCGAAAGATGTGAAAATGACGGGCGCCATATAATTTTTCTGATCCTTTTTTTGGGAGACAATCTGATAAAGGCAAGTGACTTTCTTTAGTCAATGGGGTATTGGGTATCAACAAGAAGATAACCGTTGACAACAGATACTGCTTTCATGTGGAGATGTTTTTTAATAGCCCTGTTAGAATAGCTTACAAAAACAAGTTTCTACCTGTGTCTACAAGCCACATGTTTTCATCACATATTTTCAAATTGACTACTCTCCACACATCACTCCTGTAGAAAGAAGTTGGGTTGTGGGGCTGGCAGGTGGGATGGTGGTTAAGAGCACTGGACTCCCACGTGGCCAACTGTGGTTTGAGTCCTGGACCTGGTGGCTTGCTTTCTCACTTTCCCTTTCTCGCTCTCTCTCTGTCCCTCTCTGTTCAAATTAAAATAAATAAATAAATAGTTAATTTTTTTTTTTTTTTAAAGAAAGAAATTGGGTTGAGGGAGAGATAGAAGAAATTTTAATTTCTTAGAATAAGGGACATTAGGGACCAGCAGTTAGAGTAATGGCTATGTCGCTAGACCCCCATGTAGTTGACTGTGGTTCGAGTCTCAGACCAGGCAACTTAAACTCACACCAGGCGCGTGTGCGTGTGTGCCCAAGATCCCAAGAGGAGAATGGAGGAGAAGGGACTGCATCGTGGCCATCCCTCTTGTGGGGGGTGATTTCTCACTTTCTGTCTCTCTGTCTATCTCTGTCTTTCTGGTGAGCACACGCGTCCTATAACAAAAAAAAAAAAAAAAAAAAAAAAAAAAAAAAAAAGTCGAAAAAAAAAGGGCAAAAAACCTCTCCGAAAGAAAAAAAAGAATAAGGGATACTAGATGGAACCAGCAGGTGGCGTAGGAGTTAAGGCACTGGACACTCTCATGTGTCTGACCATGGATTGAGTCCTGGACCTGGTGGCTTGCTTTCTCACTTTCCCTCTCTTTCTGGTTAAATTAAAAAATAAATTAACGAATAAAAATAAAAAAAAAAGAATAAGGGACATTAGAAACCCAGATACGGCTATCTTGAAGTATTACAATAAATAACTGTTCTTATTCCTCCTTTACATGTCACGCAAAACACTTATTCACATTTTTATAGCTTACTTAAAACAGAGTGTGCAGTTGTTCTGTGTTGAACTTGCTAGAAAGCACATGCACTCATCAGTGAGGAGAGGGAAAAAGTAGCCCTGGTGGGGCATGGGCATGCATATCCATGTGCCCAGCACCTTCTTCTTTTTCTTAATTTGGCAGAGCATGTGTGTATTTGCCAGAGGGCGGAAGAGAGACAGCCAGAGGGAGAGAGAGAATGAGAAAGAGAAAAAGTGAGAAAGCACCCCCCCCCCCCCTCAGGGGCATGGTCATGCCGCAAACCCCTCTCCTCTCTCTCTCCTTCCCTTTGGTATTTTCGGCATGCACATACACATGCCCAACATGTTTTTTCTTTTCTTTCTTTAAATAATTATTTATTTAAAAAAATTTTTTTTTGAGGTTTTTGCTACAGGGCATGTGTGCTCGCCAGACAGACAGAGAGAGACAGAGAGACAGAAAGCGAGAAATCACCCCCCAGGGGGGATGGCCACGCCACAAT